AGTGAAGAGGACAGGAGGAACTTGTTGAGCTTGGAAAGAAGCTCTGGATTCATATTTTTAGAGAACTTGAGGGCTAAAAAGTGTTAAAAATAAAAGCAATGGTTAAACTTCACTCCATGCATTAAGTCAGAGGTCTCCAGAGCGATGCTGGCTGGAGAATTCTGGGAGTTGAAGTCCACCAGTCTTAAAGCGGCCAAGTTTGGAGACCTCTGGGTTAAGGGGACATTTCTAAAACAACCCACCAAGGATCCCCTTTGCTTACATTTGCCAAAGTCAATAATTATTGGTGATTTCTGTTCTTTCTTTCAGCCGAAATTGGTGACTACGATCCTGGAAAACACCCAGAGGGATACAGTTCCAAGTTCCAGTTTTTCCCCAAACACTCTGAGAAATTGGAGAGGAAAATTGCCGAGATCCATAAAATTGAGCTCAGGTGACTCTTTTGGTAGCTGTTTCTGCGTGTTCGTTGGTTTCCTAGATGGTGAGAAAGCAGCTTCCTGAGGCCGCCTGGAGCAAGACCTGGGCCGGGTCTGGAAGGACGGTATCTCTGCTATTCAGCGCGGCTGGAGGGGAGTTTGGATGACCTTAGAAGAGCCATCCTTAAAGGCAGGGGAAATGTGTGCCCGGAGCTCTTCAAGGGGGAGGTTTTTCGATCTTGGCTTCTGCTCATTTGGCAGAGCAGCGGAGGGGAGGCCTGACTGCCCAGTGCCCGACCCCAAGGGCGGAGCTGCCCTGCGAGTGGATCAACTATGCCTTGTGGTTGGCTAGTGGGACAGGCCTTCCTAGCAAGGGGGGCGCTTGGTTTTAAAGCTGCACTCGAGAGACGTGGTCGGTCACCCTGTTTCCTTTTGGCCCCTCAGAGGACTGGAAGGCAGCCTGGTGGACGCCTCCCAAAACAAAACATGATTTAGCAGCTCCAACTCTTTTTTCCTGGCTCAAGGGCGTCCCTAGAACAAGGAGCAGCTAAAAACCGAGGCTTCCTTTAGCTCTGTCACACTTCTAGGGTCAGGAGGTGGTCTCACTAATAAAAGGCAGGGCTGTTTATGAACCACTCCAGGGCATTGCTTGATCCAAGGAAGGAGAACACAGAGCAGGGCAAGGTTGGTGAGTAGGTGGAAGCATCTCTGGGGTGGCGAGAAGCCAGCCAAGGAGAACACCTGGTTTGCGCGCAGGTGAAATGGCCCT